TGATAAAGCAGGAAAATAATTTTGTTAATATAAAGTCACACAGAGCTAATGATAAACATTTAGATTTCGGTATGTTGCTCCTCCTTATCCTGCCAGCAGTTCATTAAACATGTAATATTTTAATTGCTTGATTAATTAATAAAAGGATTATAGTATTCAGAGGGTATGGTAACATGATTGTAACTGTGTAATAACACAATAAGACGTCCTGTGTGTGCCTGTAAGCCAGACAGCAGAGGAGAGGAGAGAGGCAAGACTGCACACGAAATGTAAATTACACCAAAAACATGTTTTCCGCTCCTCAAACCATTTCAAAACCAAATTGGAAATGCCAAATAATCAAGTGTTTGTTTTTCTGTTTTAAAACCAAAACGGAAAACTATTGATTGACACTGAATATGTCCGATCTGTGTAGCTTTACGTCTTCCACTTGAGAAACGTGCAGCAAATACACTTGGGCAATGGCGATGCCTAATATAATGTATTGATGTTGGTGAGTGTGACCAGTCAGGGGATGGGGTAGACCACCGCTGTTGCAAACAGGCGCACGCGTACAGCAACCAGTTTTTAAAACCAGTAGGGTTACAATACCAGTCATAGATAAAACAAAACGCCGGTCCTTTGTTTTCATGTTTTGTGTTTAAAACGGAATAATCCAAGAACTATATGTGCGGATTCTCCTCAAATCCAACTCCCTGTTTGTTTCCAAACCAAAATACTACTATACTACTAATAATACTAATAGACGAACAACCACTCACACCTAATACTAATTTAGAACCAATCCATTCACAATAGGGTTTGACAGTACAACTCTCATAGGGGTGTTTTAAATGGCTCCACAGAGACAATTAGGGGCTGAAATTCTGCAACAATAATGACTTGATTCAATTTACCACCTATCTATCTATCTAGAATTACAAAGCATCAATTATTTTTATAATGTGTCTGAATGTTAAATAAGTGTGGTTAAAATAGTTTAACTGCCTAATAAAATGATTTCAAGGCTCCTGTAAGCAGAGCTGTGGCAGGCAGATATCTTGCAAAATAGTCTAAATGAAGTCTTACCTGGAATCAGTTGATCTTTCCGAGCATCATAGAGCATTCCTAGGGTGAATGGTCGACCCAGAGCAGCAACCTTTATGGTATCTGAGGCCATTTCTCCAACCTGTTGAGTTAGTGGCCACACAGTCCTCACTACTTAAAGTCCTCTGCAGTATGAGTGTTGAGAGTTTATGACACAGGAAGTCTCTTCCTTCAGACAAACTGCAAAGACAAGAAGCTGAAACCGTGACAGTTTACTGTGCATGGAAATACATATCTCCCCAAAGACACTATTCTGACAGTGATAGTTTACTATCAGTAATCTCTCTCTCTCTCTCTCTCTCTCCCCTCTCCCTATTTATAGATATCTATCTATTCTATTTCTATCTCTACTCTATCTCTCTGTCAGCCAAGTTTGTCCTCACCTGGTGAAGTATAGATCGCTTGTGTGCGAGTCCTCTTGACTTCCAACTGGAGCTGCCAGTCTGATCAGTGATGTTAACCCCATCAGATACTCTTCTGACTCCTCCTCTGACATGCCTCCAGCACCATGGTACCAACACAAAAGTAAATGTGCAAAGCACAAAAATATACAGGATGCAGTTATACATCGTTCCCTCAGAAAATCACAATAATGAAGCATGGGTTACTGTAACAAATTTATAAGCCTTTCCCTGTGACACAAGCCCTTTATTTGAAAGTGCTGGGTAGTGA